GTGCTACGTACGTGCGTGCGGTGCACTGCATACATGTGCACGTACGTGCGGTGCGCGTGCACGCAATGCATGTGCACGTACGGTGCGTGCGTGCACCATGAATGTGCAACGTACGTGCGTGTGTGTGGGCAGCAATCGCATGGTGCACGGATACGTGCGTGGTGTGTGTGTGACGCATGCAATGTGCAACGACGTGTTGGTGTGTGTGTGTGCACAGCAATGCCCATGGTGAACCGTAGTGTCGTGTGTGTTGTGTGCACGCATGCATGTGCACGTACGTGTGTGTGTGTGGGGTTGTGGCACGCATAGCCTGTGCACGTAACGTGTGTCGTGTGCTGCCTGTGCACGCATGCATGTGCACGCTACGTGTGTTGTGTGTGTGTGCACGCATCATGTGCACGTTACCGTGTGTGTGTGTGTGTGTGCACGCATGCATGTGCACGTACGTGGTGTGTGTAGTGTCGTGTGCACGCATGGCACGTGCACGTATCGTGTGTGTGTGTGTGTGTGCAACGCATGCATGTGCGAACGTAACAGCTGTGTGTGTGTGTGTGTGCACGCATGCAGTGGTGCACGTAACGTGTGTGTGTGTGTGGGTGCGACGCATGCATGTGCATCGTACGTGTGTGTTGTCGTGTGGTGGGTGCACGATTCATGTGGCACGTACGTGTGGTGTGTGTCGCTGTGTGCACGCATCTGCATGCTGCACGTAGTGTGTGTCTGTGGTGTGCACGCATGCAATGGTGCACTACGTGTGGTGTGGTGTGGTGAACACGCATGAATGTGCACCGTACGTGTGTGTGTGTGGTGCACGACAATGCTATGTGCACGTACGTGTGGTGTGTGTGTGCACGATGCATGTGCCACGAAGGTGTGTGCGTGGCCGCACCATGGCTATGTGCCACGTACGTGTGTGCGCGCACGCACTGCATTGGCCCAACGTATCGTGTGTAGCGCGCACGCATGCATGGTGCACCGTAGTGTGTGCGCGACGCATTGCCATGTGCACGTACGTGTGTGGCGCGCCACGCATGGCATGTGCACTGGTATCGTGTGGTTTGTGCACGCATGCATGTGCACGTAGTGTGTGTGGTGCACGCATGCATCGTGATCGTACGTGGTGTGTGCACGCATTAGCTGTGCACGTACGCTGTGTGTGTGCACCGCACCATGTGTCACGTACGTGTGTGGTGTGTGCACGCATCATGTGCACGTACGTGTGGTGTGTGTTGCACGCGCATGTGCACGTACGTGTGGCTGTGGTGTGCTGACCATGCATGGTGCTACGTCACGTGTGGTGGTGGTGCACGGGGCAGTGTGCAGCGTATCGTGTGGTGTGGTGCACGCATGCATGTGCACGTACGTGTCGTGTGTGTGCACGCCAGTGCATGTGCAACGTACGGTGTGTGTGTGTGCACGCTGCATGTGCACGTACGTGTGGTGTGTGTGCACGCCATGCATGTGCACGTACGTGTGGTGTGTGTCAGCGCATGCATGTG